TTTAAAAAGCTAAGTATTTAGGATCTTTGCTATAAAACTCACCCTTCAGGACTATGTAATTCATAGTCCCGAAGAGTAAAGTTGTTAGCAAAGATTCAATTTGTTTTGTACCTGTAATTGATTTAAATAATTGTCAGTAAACGATTCTTCTCATGATGCAATATACATCTGAAGAAATTTGTAATATACACGGCATAACCGTTTATTACTAATTCCTAGCATCCTATAATCTTTATATAGGTTGTCAAGTGCGAAAATTACTATTTTCATTAAATTTCTGAATTCATCTGCTGTTATGCGTGTCATATCAGATATATTTTTCAATATTTTGAAGCCCTGATGTCTGGGAATTAGCGTTAATTATTGTTCAAAGATTTGCATCACTTGTCTTTCACACTGATCATATAGAAGGTCTTTAGTATAGTCTAGCATATATTTAAAAAGACCAAGATCTAAGGTATGCATTCGATCGGGAACGATTGCTCGATATATATTAAAATTGCTTAAAAAAAAAAAAAGATAAATGCATTTATTATATTACTTATTTAATAAACCTAATTAACTTTAATTTATACCTTATTTCCCAGAATACATTTGGTTCAGGATGAATTGAATAATCATTTTCTTCGCTATCCTCTATTATTTGTTTCATATTATCATGGGTTCTTGGCAATATATTAGTCAAGTCACTATTATTCAAGTCATCCCTTGATACTAAACACGAATAACAAGACCTTCTTAATGCAGATGGCTAGTAAACATTAGCCAATGTGCTGGCCTCAAGCAAGTCAGCTAATAACATAGAAATTTGTGGGATAAATGTTATTATGTTGCCATGAATGACAAAATTAAGCTCTAGATTATTAATAATAGGCTTAATTAAAATCCTTAAGCATTCATGAAAGACTTTTCTTTTTAATTTTCGAAATTCTTTGGATTTTTTTGTTGTGGAATCTTTAGCCTTTAAGATAGGTAAGTACCCGATTAAAGCTTTAGATTCTGGTTTGTTTCACTGGGAGTTAGGAATGTTACCTAGAGTTTGAACCCAGTTTTATTTTTTATATGTTAAAACTGATTAAAACCGATTTATAATATGAAAAATAAAACTGATTCCAAACTCTAATTGTTACCTAGAGATAAATATGGGGTGCTCGGAAGATTTTCCCATATGGTCTAGAGTAGTTGTATTGGAATAAAGGATTATCGATAGTAATCATTGACCAAGAAGTAATGATGATTCTTCTTGTTCCCACCAGAGGTAATTATATTGCTCTTCAAAGATGCAGCACTCCACGTTATTTCTTATCTCCCTTTTATTTTCAAAGTTAAGTACCAATTGCTAATTTATACTATCGATCATTAATAAAAACTTTATTGTCTTTATTAATGATCGATAATATAACGTATACTTAACACCTTGATACGTTATAATAGGAATTTCTTTGAATATCATATGAGGGATTGTTAAATTATCCAGAAATTCCTTTCCAATCTTTGCTATTGGAGGGAGGGGCGAAACATCCAAGTTTGAATGCTTATTGAAAAAATTTTATAAAAGCATCACCAACCGAATTAGACAGTTGATGTCTACTGACTATTTTTATAAATTTATGATATGCATTGTCGGGCCAGTCAACTTTGTGTGAATAATGCAGGTCATTAAAAGCATCATCGAGTGAAGCTCCTTCGTAGTCTTCTGGATCAATATTGATAGATTCTATAAAATGATCAGAATCTGCTAAAGAATACTCTGTTTTCATATCGGAATAAGGTGATATGTTTTCGTTCTAATACATAATTATTAAACAACATTTTGTAACCAATAATAGCATTTATAACCAACTTACCTCATATGTCATAAAATTTTCATCATAGTTATTTTCTGTTTGCATAGAACCAGATAAAAGTGACTCTGATATAACTTCGTCCTTAATTAAATATAATCGTTTATTATCGTTTTAAAACTTTAATAACAAATCATTACTAATTTACTCCATTATAGAAGATTCATCTAAAGAAGAGTCATAACTAGAGCTATATTCTGGAAGATTCCAAATGTTATCATCCAATTGCTCAGCAGGAACAGATTGATTTGTCGTGTCATTAATATAAGGATGACTTTGAGAAATGTGACGAGTTAGTGCTTGAGGTCTTGAAAAATTACGAATACAATGTGGACATTGCCAACGCATTTTAGAAAAAAATAGAGAAACGAAAAAAGAGATAAAGAAATGAAAAGACAGAAAAAGAGAAAGAGAGAAACAATATAAAGAATCGAAGGAAAATAAATGAACCTGAAAATAAGCGATATTAAATGAAGAGAAAAAGAAAAGAAAGAAACAATATAAAGAAGTGAAGGAAAAAAATCAAACTGAAAATAAGCGATATTAAACGAAGAGAAAGAGAAAAGAGAGAAACAATATAAAGAAGTAAAGGAAAAAAATCAAACCGAAAATAAGCGATATTAAGCGAAGAGAAAGAGAAAAGAGAGAAACAATTTAAAGAAATGAAGAAAAAAAATTAAACCAAAAATAAGCGATATTAAACGAAGAGAAAGAGAAAGGATAGAAACAAAGTAAAGAAATGATAAAAAACACTTTAAACCGAAAATAAGTGATATTAAGCGAAGAGAAAGATAAAATGAGAAAATAAAAGGGATGTTAGGATCACTAGAACCTGTATTCTGTTCTTCAGATTTAAAAACAACAAATGATAAAAAAGAAAATAAAAAGAAAATTGGATTAAAGCGATTATTAATTATAAAAGGGCCAAAGAAAGTTACGAAAGAATGTCTAAGGGTAATATTCAGAGAGAATTTGATTTATAACTGTATCTATATATTAATTTATATCGATTTATATCGATTTATAACAATTTAACTTTATTTTTCTATCAAAACAATTTTATCACAAAGCTAACTTTGTAAACAACTTACGTCATATTATGCATGACATAATAACATGGGCAAATTGGTGTTATATGAGTGCTACTAAAAGAATACCTGAGTTACCGGCCTTTCAATTGTATTTTGTACCGGACATATTCCTAATAAATTAAATAGATTGTGTCTGATACAAAATACAATTGAAAGCTTAATGACTCAGGTATTCCTTTAGCAGCACTCATATAATCTTATTAAGTGTAATATTATTTAGATTTGTGATGACATTATGCAATATAGCAAAAGCTCAGCTATGCGATAAATCTTAGAACATCGTTATTATAAGTATAATGACCAAAAGTTAACAGATAAGTATCTCTCTTTTATTTACATTACATTTTTCATCATTAGATTTTAAATTTTATTAATTCTTGCAAAATCATTACAATTATATAAATACAATAGTTTTTTAAGGTTTGAAGGTAAGGATATTTTTGAAAATTTAAATAATAGAAAACTTATCTTCTACTACTTCTACTCAATATGCTCATTCTCAATCGGTTTCTGATACACCACATAATACCACTGACCCTAAACAACCGCCTCAAACTGATCGTTCTTAATCAGTTTTTTCTAATGCATCATATAAATCCACCGATCCTCAACCAACATTTACTAATACACCATATAAATTCGCTGATCTTCAACCAACATCTAACAACGCTAACCCTCAAAAACAATCTAAAAATCCTTGTTCTGACGATGATTCAGATTCATCTACAAAAAGTATTTTAAGTATGCAATCTATTTTTTCTAAAATGAGTGGAAGAGGCCTATAACAAACATCTCAATGTTAACAATTTCAATGACAACAATCTCGTCAACCTTTTCAAAGATGCTCACCTCCTCGTTCTCATTGTATAACACCGAATAACGATATAAATCGTTCCTTATCACTGCAGCCACAGCCTTCGCCTAATTATGAGCATAGAGGAAGATCACGTAATAGAAGATCATCCAACCAAGATGTATCACGTTAGTAATTTTTTCAATATATAAGCCTTTTTTTTTTTTTTTTTTTTCTTTGAATGCTTGAGTTTTATTTTTATTTTTTTATTATTGAGAATTTTTTTTTTTTGATTTTTATTAAAAACACAAAAAAAAAAGATTGTCACACCACCACCAAGAGTTCGAACAACTTTATGCACAGAATCGCCAGTTGTACTTATTATTAAAGCAGCTCAACGAGAATGTTCAAGGAATAGCCACTGAACTAAAAAGGAAGCGAGAAAAGTATGACAATAAGCTCTCCCCTCAAGTGATAGATGTAAATGATTTTTCTTCTTAATATGTTTTTCTATATTTAGCCTGTTTTTTGATTTAGCCTATTTTTTGTAACTGTTTTTTATTTTAAAGGGAATATATAATGGCGTTGTAAAACATTTATTTCCATTCCATGTTTATCCAGACTAAAATGTCCTGAAAGAAGTTATGAAGAGCTACCTTGAGGATCAATTCCCTGAGTTCTTGTGTAGTATGACTTCTAACCAATTTATAAATCGTTTTCACAGTGAATAGTGTAGTGCGGTACATTATTAATCGATAATAATCGATAATAATTTTTTTTTAATTTGTTATTATTATCAATTGCTTATAATATTATTTTATATTCGCAATCTTTGCATTATAGTATTACTGCTTTAAATATTTTAACTGTATAAATTTATTTTAATAGCTTCTCCAAAAAATGAAGAATTATAGAAGTTCAGTGGTGCAGAGCGTTAGGTCAACAATGTAGAAAGTTTTTGGATCGGAACAGTTACCTCCCTTGAAAAGTAATGCCAAGGCCCATGTAATCATAAAGTGGAAAGAAACTCTAAAAATAAGTGAATACTATTGGTTATTATTCGAAAAAAACGATAATGGTTTGTTCTGGATCTCCATAATAGCAAGGACTGCATTTTCAGAAGTTGCAGTTCCTACTCTAACGAATGAACATTGTGCTTTTGCACTCGCGGTGTGCGATGTATTCTTGCATCCCAAATCTAAAAGTGTTATATGCGACAAGAAAAATATGAAACGTCGTATTGAAAGCTATCTTATATGTATTTACTGTTTTTCTTTATTTCTTTATTATAGATTATTGTACAATACTAATGTTTTAATAAATATAGAATAATTTTAATAATAATGGTCCCTCTTATAATTCATCGGAAATGATTATGGATAATAAAGCAAGGGATCGGCCCTATTCTGAATCACGGGCGAATACTCCTGAATTCGGATCTAATACTCCTTCTCAGGATAGTAGTTCTATAACTCTTTTTTTACAAGAAGATCTGAATGATTTGTTTGGTTTCACAAATTATATTGATTAATTTAGTTTTAATTAGTTATGTTCGTTGCATGTAATTTAGCGATTTGTATTTTTTATTTTTCAATTAATAAATTCTATTGCAATAAGCATTTTTTTTTGTATATTAAAAAGTAAATATTTGATTTATTAGTGTTGATTTACTAAATATGAATAATAAGTGTACAGTATGATGATATCGATATTGGTACAATTAAAAAAATTCAATTAAAATCGTTATGCATACGTTAATTGATACGAATTAGAATTTTTATCAATTTCTATTTAAATCGATAGAAATCGATGGGATTACTATTGATTTCTATCTAAATCGATAGTAATCAGCGGGATTACTATCGATTTTTATCTAAATTGATAGTAATTGGTGGAATTACTATTAATTTCTATCTAAATCGATAGTAATCGGTGAGAGGGATTTAAATCGATACTTATTTAATAACTATTTAAAATCGATACTAATCACTTTGTAAATTTTGCTGATGATCATAAAATAGATACTTTAATTTGAACATTATATGCTGCTCTAAAAGATGCAGAATTTGAGTATAATGCAGTTTGTTTAATAATAGGAAGAATGATGCTCCATCAGAAAGAACAATGATGTTATAAACTTGATAGTTCAAATTTTGAAATTCTTAATCTACTTGGTAACCGCTATTATCTTATAAAATTATCAATGGATAATAATTATGAAGTTAATTTAAAAGACTGTATACAAAACAATGAAAATATAAAGCCAGTACATCTTGAATGTACATGTTCTGACTTTAAGTTTCGGGGAATAGCATGCAAGCATATTTTTGCTATATGTCATAAGTTTTACATACTACCAATTTAATGTACAATATTTGTTTCAAATAAAAAAAAGCCTGAAAAAAATTATGATATTACTTTTGACGATTGGATTACAGCAATCCAAAAAGGTTGAAATTAGTATGATTCAAAAGATCGAAATAAAATAATTAATGCAGATTTAGAAGTGATCGTGAATGCAGAAATGAAGAAAAAATCTACTATTGATCTATATAATGAATATGAAATTTCTACCTCTGAGATGGAAGAGACATACTATCATATTATAAAACAAAAACATTAATATTCACTTTATATATACTATAATAACAACAAAAAAAAATATTGATTTATTGTGATCAATGATAAAAAAAAGAAAAGAATCTAACTTAACAGAAATGTTACTTAATGAAGATATTTTTAAAATTATATATTTAAAATTCAAAGCACATTATAAATAAATAAAATAAATAAACAGTTTTTATATTTATTTTGAAATAACATCAAGATCTCATTAATCTAAATTTTTTAAAAAAGGTGAAGAACTAAAAATTTAATAAAGTCATAATTTTGTGAATGTGAAAATTTTATAAAAAACATATAACTCTGTCTAATAAGAACTTAAATAATACAAAAACTTAATAATATGCAACTCAGTCTAATAAGAATTATAAATAAAATAATTAAATGATTCATGAGCTACAAGAGCAAAAAAAATTGTACCAAAATCATTTTTTTTTCAATACTAGAAATCGCATCACATCTAATGTATGTTGAAGTAGATGTGCAATGAATATACCAAATTAGAAGATGATCATTATAGGATCCAAATTGGGTGAGGAGCATATAGATGCACATGGGGTGGGTGGGAGTGGGTTGATGTGATCACTTAGTAAACCCTAATCAGCTGATTTCTAAAAGCTTCCTAACTAGAAACCTAAAGTTAATAGCACAACACATTTTTAGAAAACAGAACACTTTGGCAGACTTAGCATCAAGAATGACAATTGACTAGTATAATTGGATGATCAAGCTACAGATATTTTACAAGTTTTAATTAAAGTAAAGCTCTTTTCAGATAGACCTATTTGTGAATAAGATCAACACTCTACTTCTAAACTACTTTTTCAAGTTTTCTGATCTATATTGCTTAGTAGTAGATACATTAGCCTAAAATTAGATACAAATAAAAGAATAGGCGAACCCAATGTAGATCTTAATACACAAGATTCTATCCAAAATAATAAAGAACAAATCAACTGTAGTATTAGTAATACTTTACTAGACAACTATATTTAGTTCTCAATACTATTAGACCTTCTAATAGATCTCCCAATTCTACTGTTAAACAAATATCCCTTTATTTTGGAAAGAACAAGCAACAACAACTCAATAAGAAATTCAAAGTGAATGATATTCATATGTCTTATTTCAAACAAAGACTCTCTAAAAAGAGTTTTTGCTAAAAGCTATTAAACTGATAGAAAGTACAATCAAGAAATCATCAAATAATACAATTGGCTCAGCTTTTAAAAAATAGATTTTTTGGTTTAAAAAATTGTCTATTGATCTCATTCAATATTTTGTAGGCCATGTTGTAGATTTTTTAACCAAAATGAGTAATAAAAGCATAGTATACAATCCTATAGCTTCTTATCAATTAGCTATTAGCAAGGCACATAATTTAGTTGACAATATAAAAGTGAAACATCATCCATTTGTAGCTATGATCATGCTAGCAATATATAAAAAGAGTCCATTTGCATCTCTACCAGAAGATACTATAAATATAATCCTGTGCTTCAAACACATAATAGTGATAGTAAATAACAACGAAATGTTGATTATAAAATTGATTAAGAAAACAGCATTTCTTTTAGCAATTCCCAGCAGCAAGACTTAATGACTTGCAATATAAATCACTAAAGTCTATGATTATAATAGAAAATGGCTACTTCTGTAATATTGAAAAACCTAAGAAATATAAAATCTTTATTATTCACAAAGATAAAAAATTAAAGCAAAAAACACTTATAATAGAATGTTACGGCAAAAACCTCTTTTATGCTTAGTGGCTGCTGTACAAGCAATGTTAGAATACACTAGGAATTAGAAAAATAGTAGTAAAAAAAAGATTCTCTATTTTTAACTTCAATACCTCTGCATAATTCTGTCTCAGTAGATAGGATTTCTGGATGGCTTAAGAATATAATCACAGTGGCAAACCTGAAGGCTAAGGCAAAGAATTTAAGAGTTATATTAGCATATCTAGCTCAAGAATCCAAGGCAAATACAAATGCTATACTGGCCTTTGGTAATTGGTCCTCATGTAAAATATATAAGAAATTCTATCAAAGAGATATAAGAAAAACACTCGAATAAAAACAGCAAACAAAATCTTAGATCAAGCAAGGGATAAATAATACTCTACAAAATACATGTAATATTGTTTATTGTAATATGCAAAGTTTATTTTGACCAATGGTTAAGTATTGTAAAGATAGACAATATCTTGCCAAAACCTACCCTATAGTAAGATTATTATTATTATATATTTTTTAATCCCACTATATAAAACAGCCTAAAGAGAGAATTGCTTAGTCTAGTTAGATATATACTGTAAAAAATTTTTTAATTATTAGTATTGTATAACTTTACAATATAATAGCAATAGTTTACAAAGTTTGGGACAGCCAATAATAAAATAGATTCAATGCATGTAATATTATTTATCTTTGCAATGCTTGTTCATTTCTTAATGATTTTTGTTAATATTTGACTATTGGTCAAATTTGTCAGACATCACGTGATGATAAAACTTTTGTTGACAATACTGAGGAAGATTGCTAAGAAAGCTTCATTCACATGAAGATTTACAGGAATTATCTAATAGGTAATTATAATTGAGTATAACATAACACGATCAGGAAAACAAAAGTTCGTTTTTAAAAAAATTAGAAAAAATGTTTGTTTTCTGAAAATTAGCATAAAAAACTACCTTCTGCACTCTAACAAAAAAAAATTTCTCAAGCAATTTATCATTAAATCCTAACCCTTGTAAATAAACTTTAAAGAATTTACAGTATATCACATAAATATGAAAATTTTGGTGCTGATGCAAGTATTTTAGAAGTTTGTATTACTAGCACAAATAAATAAAGCCTCAGATAATATCTGATCCAGATATAATCTCTATCGTATAAAATTTTTAATTAGTAATGTATATCATTAAATAATATAATGAATTGCTTAGTAACACTTAGTATCATTATTATATTAGATTAGATTGATAAAAAAAACAAATTTATTAATGTTAGGTGTTATGTAGCTACTCAAACTACCATGTTTTCATAGACTTTTATTATCAATCTTTAACTCACTTGGCTATTAAACGATAACTGATATATTGTATCAGATACAGTATTATCACCGATAATATATTTATACAGATAACAGTTTATTCACTAAGAATAATTCAAAGAACTCAAAATTCTAATAAAAACAAAAGTTAGGCACTTTCCCTATTTGAATCAATGCTTTATATATTATTACTAATATATATTTGATTACTATATTGTTCATGTAATACTAATTACTACTGATTACTACATTGTTTATGCAATCACTATTTTAGACTTTTAATTAAATCATAATCACCCAATTCATACATTAATTAGATCATCGACATTCAATTAACACATACCCAATCACTAATCATATGAATATTGCATAGCTTTGCGATATTAGGTCATATTAATATTAATATTAATATTAATAAAAAAAAATCAAAATTCTTATAAATAAGGGTATTTAGAATCAGAATATTTTTTATATATTTATCTGCTCATAAAACAACTAAAAAATTTGGTGTTTCATCTAATACTTTGAGACATTGGTTAAGACAGAGAAAAATATTTGCAATAATGTCTCTATTTGAGACTTGTCTCTATAATATTTCTTCTTTTTTACCAAAGTTAATTACTCAAAATGATATCTTAACCACCTCTATTACTGAAAAAAAAGGTTTTCTATACACATGTGTCTCAAGTAGCAAACAGAAAGAAAACTATAAAAGACAGAAACAGATCCTTAAATCCAGATTTCTAAATTATGGATTCATCAATTATATCTGGTCAGATATTAACTTCAAAAGAAACAAACTTAAGACCTTACTGGAATGATCAAGTAAAAGAATAGTCTCAGAAATTGTAGTTACTTACTGTAACTGACTCTACAGATTCACATTTAACCTCATTGAATTTATGTTCTCATTACACTCTATGAAACTTGTAGTTTTCTTTGATGAATTAGATTCTGACGAACATGAATATCACAAAATATCATTACAATCAATACCACCTTTATCTGTCGAATACAAAAAAAAAGAGCAACTATATACTGAAGAAAGTGAAAAATAATAGAAAATAAAAACAATAAAAACATAAAGCAAAAAAAAATAAAAAGTCAAAACTACTATGAATTAAACATTATCAATCAAAACATATCTGAATTATTTTCAGAAAAAAATCTTAAAAAGATGACTTAAATTGATGAGATATGCTTAAAATACTGTTGTTAGATGAAACAAAAATTGTCGTTTTTGTAACAGTTTTAAAAATTTTGAATAGATAAAACCTTATACACTTAATGAAAAACTTAAATTATACATAGATATAAAGAAGAAAAAGATCTTAATGAAAATCATTTTTTTCATTTAGGTCTAAGAAAAATTTACAGCAAACAATGATTATTTGTGCACAAAACTTTTCAAAGAAAGATTAGAATCATTTTTATATTACATATCTTCATAATTCTTCGATTTATTATTAAAATGATACAAACCTAATAATTTTGAAGATGAAAAACATGACTTATACCTATTTCACTTTGAAAAAAAGAGAAAGAATAACAAATGACCATTGCAACAAATAGATTGTGATTGTAAACTTATATATATATATAAAACAAATGAATAAATATTTTATTGGGTATACAGTATGAAGTACAAAAACAGATCTGTGAAATACAAGCAGATGTTTATGTAGTTTCAATTAATCTAGGAGTTCATACTCCATTTACATAGTATTCTTTGACCAAAGGTGTAAAAAAGATAGGAGAATATAATATAGAATGTATTTTTTGTTTATGTAAACACATAGATAACCTAATATCAAAAAAGACAGATTGGCATCTTCAATCTCAAAACAAAAGAAGAAGAAAACATTGCGTATTGACAAAGCCATCTTTCATATAAAACGAAAAATCAGATGACTTCAGGACAAAATCTATTGAAAAACAATCAAGTTCTTAACAAATGAGTTTGATATGATCATTATCCCCCCTTTTGAGATTTCAAACATGATAAACAGGAAATCATGAAAAATAACAAGGAAAACAGCTAGAAAAATGCTTTGTTGGTCACATTACAAATTTTGACAATGATTGATTTCAAAAGCAGAAAAGAAAAGAACTCATGTAGTAATTCAAAATGAAGCTTACACATCAAAGACATGTAGTTGGTGTGGAAATATTCAGAATATTAGAGGATCAGAAACATATAAATGCAAGAGTTGTAGCATAAAAATAGACAGAGATGTTAATACCCGAGGAATATGTCTTCGAGCTTTGCTTGATGGAGCCATGATCTTGTCATAAGACATCTTCATGCAGAAAATAGTAACTTTACTTAGTAATACTTAGTATTGATTATTATTGATGTGTTACAATCCATCTGCAGAATAAAGTAGTCTGAGCTTGGTATATCTAGTCCATAATTAAATGAAGTGCTGTAATTAGATATGTAAATAAACAACTATATATTGTAATAAAGATTACGAGCCTCACCTTAATACCAAAAAAAAAAGTTTTTCTTACAACTTAACCTTAACACAACTCTAATCCTAATCTTATTCTAATCTTGAATATTAATATGACCAGGTTTTATTTGTATTTAAGAAAAATAATAAATTATTTTTTATATAAAAAAAAATCAATAAGAATTAACACAAGTACAGTAGTATAGCAGAGGCGCCGGTACACCCCATTATTTTACTATAATAGATTAACCTATAGTATTATAATAATTGCAATAAAAGTTTGTATAAAAACATGTCTATACTGTTACGCTTTAATTTGTTAATTAGGTAGATGCACATGCGCTAAACTACATAATTCATTTCTAAAAAATAATAATTTAATATTCACAATTAATCAGTCTTATTTTGAAAATTTGTAAATAATTACATTTTTCTAGTTTACTTTGACCAGTTAATGAGACAAAAAAAAAGAAATGCTTGATAGTTTATATAAAACTAGTTATAATATTACAAATAATAATAATAATATATATTATTATTATTTACACTATTTTGATCTATTTTATTATATATTGTTCCTAAAATATTACATTCCATTATCATGATTTAACATACTATTGCTTCCATAACCGTTACCTGCCAAAGCATTAACACCAATACCATTGCTTCCCATGTTATTGTTACTTGCCAACCCTGCTCCATTATTGCCAATACCACCGTTATTCATGACGCTGCTTCCATTAGCGCTTGAATATCGGGCCATACCATAAGTATTTGTGGTACCAAATCCTGCACCACTAGAAATTCCAGAATTGCCACTCATAAATCCTGTGAATCCTACATTCTGTAATTGTTGTTGTTGCTGTTGAGATATAGGCATGCCAAACTGATCATTTAAACCAATTAAAGAAGGTAATATTCCTGTGCCTTGTCCGTTGTTAGCATTGCTGTTCCCTGCATTTCCAATTGACATACCACCAATTCCAACTAATGGAGGAAGAACTTGATAAGATTGTTCGGAATTATTACTTGTTGTCATCATTGTATAATCGGTAATATTGTTATTATTAGCTACCATATTTGGTTGTAGCGAAGATGAATGTCGCTGATAAGTTGCAGCAATCGTTGCGGATGGCGCTATAGATCCGGAGAACCGGTTAGACGATTGCTGTTGAGTATGCTGTTGCTGATGCTGCTGATGCTGTGAAACTTGTTGCAGTTGTTGTGAAGGATGCATCTGCTGCGGGGTGGGCTGTTGTTTTTGATACATTTGCTGATACTGAGATGATGATGGGAGCACAGAACCCATAATACTACTTGAAGTTGGCAATTTATATTGTCGAGGTGAGGTAGATGTCCCTCCATCTGACACCGTACTAGGCGATATATTGCTAGTAATATTATTACTTGTATGACTGATATTATTCGCATTAGAACTTACAGTTGTAGAAACACCATCGGGCCTATGAAATTTTTTATAGTCCGAAAAGACTTGTACAGCTCGTTGAATAAGGTTGTTAAGATTTTGTCCGCATGAACCACGTGGAATGGGTAAGGGGGATAAATTTGGTACTTTGGGCTTTACTTTCTACAATTAATTATCAGGACATTAATCAATAGATTCGTAAGCTGTTATCAGATCCACACTTTAAAATTATAAAGCACTCACGTTTCGAGGGTTTCCGTTGTATTCATCGGCTACCATTGCGAGATAGGCCAAATTTGTTTGAAGGCGCATTTTATACCTGGATAAAGGTACAATTAAATAACATTAAATTATTGAAATTTAGGTATTATCAATTTACATACATAGTCAATTCTTCATTTGGCCACTTATTGGTGTGATAATCGATACAAACACGAATCAGCTCGAAATTGACTTCAAGAATCTAGGTAAATTGAATCAAATGGAAGTTATAAGAGAGATTTTATAAATATGATTCAATAAGACTCCTTCCCAGTGCCCAATATTTTGGCATATCTATTAATTTCGGGTGGATCATTCTGATCTTTAAAGACAGAATATTCATTAAAAAATTAAATTCAATTAGATATAAAAAAATGAAATAT